TGTAGAAGTTTTGTTTGGTAGATGTTTCTTTCAGCACATTGAATATTATTACACTGCCTTCTTGCCTCCATTGTATTTGATGAAAAGTCACAAATTATCCTATTGTTGTTCGTTACAATGAGATAAGTAGTTTTTCTTTTTATGCTTTTGAGATTTTTCTCTTTGCCTTTGTCTTTTAGCAACATGACTATAAGGTGTCTGGGTGTTGATTTCTTTGTGTTTATCCTACTTAGTATTCATTGAGCTTCTTGAATTTGTAGATTAATAGATTAATACATTTTATCAAATTTGGAAATTTTTCTTTTCCTTTCTCTCTCTCTCCTTTCATTTTGGGACTTCCATTATGCAAATGTTGATAAGCTTAACACTGCCCCAGGAGTTTCTGAGTCTCTGTTCAATATTTTGCAATCTTTTTTCTCTCTGCTTTAAATCAGATAATTTTTATTGTTCTTTCTTCAAGTTCACTGATTTTCTTCCATCTCAAAAGTGCCGTTGAGACTACTAGTGAATTTTTCATTTATATGAACTTCTGTGTTAAGGGATTTCACTACGATTGTGGAATTGAAAATTTAGTCATGTGTATCATCAGTTTTTTTTCCTTACATATTTCTAGTCTATGTTTTTATATATATAAATGTTCATAACAATGGTGATATATTTATACTTTGGTCAATTATAATTTTGACAGTGTGAAATATATATTTGTCTTCTTTAATGCTTTTTCTACTTGAATTTCATTTTTATTGGATATTAATACTGCCATAGCATCTTTCTCTTTGTTATTATTTTCCTCATATATTTTTCTATCTCCTTATTTTTAACATTTATCTGCACTTCTTTTTTCCTTTAGATGTGTCTCATGCAAGCAGCTTACAGTTGGTTTTGTTTTGCTTTTAATCCAATCTGAAAGATTCTTCTTTTTAATAGAGAAGTTTAATTCATTTATATTTAATGTTCTCACTAATACATTTGCATTTGTTCTTTCTATATAGCTTTTGAAATTTTACCTGTTTTCTTCTTTATTGTTATACTTTCCCTTCCTGATGAAGTTTACCTTGAGCATTTTTCTAAATTGTAATTTAGGGACTAAACATGCTATTTTTTTCTTGTAATTTTCCTTAATTTTAACAATCACATTTTAGCTTAAGATTTTTGTCAACCTCAAGAGTGAAAGATTGTCTATATCATCCCCATGGGCAATACAATAAGCTTAACAAGGCTACATTTCTTTCCTCCCTCCCCACCTCTCCCATCCATACTAATTTATCCTGCATTTTAGTTTCAAATTAAAAAATTAAACTTTATAAAAATACTTACACAATTCTAAAATTTATTTTTATTATATCATATTTAAATTGCTATTTCTCATAATCTTTATCATTCTCTGTCTTGTATTCATATTAATTCTCTGTATTCCATACATAAGTAATTCTTCCAGAGAAGGAATGTTGGTACTAAAATTTCTAAGTCCTTTTATATCCTTAGCTACAATGGAACTGTCGTTATGTTGGGCTCCTACTGAATGGTAGTTTAAACAGATATAAAACTCTTTCAAAGTCATTTTCTCTCATAAATTTAGAGACTTGGATATTACTGTTCATCATCCGTTATTGCAGACAAAGTACCATATCAATCCATTTCTCATTCATTTCCTTGTAAGTTATTTCATTTTCTCTCTAGAATCTTTCAGGACTTTTATCTTTATTTTTGGTGTTCTGAAATTTCACCATTATGCAACTCAATAAGGGATCTTCTATTGTTTACTTTGTTCTGTACTTTGTGGTCACTTTCAAACTAGTGATTATCTTTCTTTGGCTTAGGGAAATTTCATCCGATTGTATTAGTACCATCATTTATTTCTGTATATGTTAGGCATCTTTTCGTGGCAATTGATAGAAAAACACAACCAAAATCTGGCTTAATCCAAAGTGGAATTCATTGGTCGCAGTACTAAAAAGGCCTATGGTAGTGCTAACTTTGGGGATTCATTGTCATTAAAGCTGTTCCCTTTCTTTTTATCTCTTTTTTCATTGAGAGAAAGAATTTTCTCTACTTCTTTGAAGGCTCACCTATATAGCTATGGCAGCATGAGGCTGAAATATTCCAAATTTATATCCACTGATATGATCACTGAATTTTCTACCAGCTTCATAAAATTTTATAGTGTATCATTGGCTCTAATTGAGTTATGAATTCAATCTCTCAGTCACCTGGCCAGGAAAACAATAATCAGATTATCCAGACCTGAGATAACCTACCCCCTGTTGAGCCCAGGCATGGAACCAACTTTACTCAAATTGAATTTGGGTAAACTATTAATAAAAGTAGATCGAGAAAGGGGGAGGATAGTTTCCATCACCCCGAGAGAAATTTGAATATACCATTGGCTAAAAAGGAGGAATTGATGTTGAGTGTCTATTTCTAGCTGGATGTATAGATGTTTACATACCTTCTTTCCATTTTCTCTGATTTCTCTGGCTACATACTACAATTCCTCAACCCATTTTCCTTGCGTCTTAAGCTTACTATCATATATTTTACTCCTTTGTTCTTTTACACTGTATTAGGAGAAAATTCTTTGACTTGATCTTCCAGTTCACTGTTTTTTACTTCAGGTATGTCCATTTATCAAGTATATTTTTTAATCGTATGAAGACATTTTTATTTCAAAGTCTCTGAATCTTTGTAAATGTAAAAGATTCTCACATTTTATTTTATTCTAGAGAGCTGATCTACTTATCCTGTTAATCTCATTTTCTCAGTATAATAGTGTTCGTTTCTTTCAAATGTTGAATAATCCCTGTCTGCTCATTTTCTCGTGTCAGTATCTCTATTCACTTGTCTCTTATATTTGTTAAGGTCGGCCTCGTGAGAAAGGCTCAGTATGTGTGCCGAGGAGGCTCTGCTATGTGCCTTGGCTCCCCCTCTGGGTTCAGCAGATCTTTGTCCTCCTGGAGCACTGCTCTGCCTCAGGGTCCAGTTGCCCACACTGAGCCTTAGCCAAGAGCAAACACCATTGCTGCCTGCTACTTAGTACAGACCAGAGAGGGGAGCAGTGCTGACTAGCCTCTCACTGTTGCTCCCCAATTAATAACTTCTCTGATGAATGCTTGAGGCCACCTCGTATCCTTGTGGCCACTGACTTTGTGTCCAGGGCTTCCCCACCATTCTTTCCATCACAGTATCCTTTTGCCTGTGTTTGACATATGTTTTCCTTCATTTTAGTCACTTTGTATATCCGATCCTGCCTACCTTCTATCTTTCCAGAATCTGCTAACATTTCTAGTCTGTTGGTGGCATTCTTTTTTCCCACCCTGTTTTGGATTTACTTTTTCTTCAGAGATACTTTCTTTTTTTATTTTTGGTCATTTTATAAGATGTCAGATGGAAAGGAAGGTAGATAGGTGTGTTCAGACAACAATCTTAATCCATTTGCTTTCTCTTAGTTTCTATGGAATTTAAATTTTCTATCCTATATCTACCAAATTATATGGAAAGGAGAAAATTTTTCTATAGCTTCTCTTGAAATATTTGAATGACATTAGAAAGGACTGGGTTAGAAAGGAAGAAACTGGTGTTCATTGAGATTCTACTACATACCAAGCTGTGTCTTTAGCTTGAAGACAACTGAGCTCCAGATAGGAAATTCTGCTTAATATGGATAAATGGTGAGATAAATTACACACACACACACACACACATACACACATACACACACATGTTCTACTGTGACACATATGAAATGGCTTTTATTCTACCAGGGAATCAGAGAAACTTAGTGTACTTTGCTGCAGAGAGACCTGAAGCAGATCTTGCCTTGCCCTTTCTACTTCCCAGAAGACCAACTGATACACACAGATTGTCCTGAGCAACACCATTTCCAGGGCCCCTGGCAACTGTGGGCTAGAGTGATTAAAGTAACCATTAATAAAAATGCAAATCTGATAAGATTATTTAAAATGTGAGATATTAAAAAAGCTAATTAAGTTGTCCCCCAGAGAAGGGAAACCTAGCTTAACAGTCATTCGTGTCAGAGAAAATAGTATTTCAAATTCCAAGCATAAAATAAGATAGATAAATGTATTTTGTTTGTATTAAATTCTAGTAAATGTGCACACATTTTATTACTTAATCAGATGATGAAATTAATCTTTATGTTGTGAATTTTTATTTCTAACTATTTAGCCTGAAGCACCAGTCAAAATTTAAAATGTGTTTCCATGATATCCGCCCGTGAATGAGAGATATGGCAGAGTTCTTATGGTACCGGTATTACTTTATAGCATTTGGAAATATAATGTAAGCCACTTATTGAGTATAAAAATCCTCTATGGTACAACGTTGCCAGCTATGCACTTAATTTATACCGAGATCATTTTATGTTGGCACGGTAAAACTATAAAAGAAAGCTCTTCTCTCATTAAGCATCCCTGCTATTTACATTAATAATTTTATTATATATGAAACTTTCAGAATGCAGAGGTACTTTAAATTATTATGTAGAAATATTTTATTAAATTTATCTAAGTAGCTAACACAGTAACATTTGTGATCAACAATAACATTGATTGAAGTTTGTCTTCAGTATGTACACACACTCTTGTTCAACTGTTTCAAAGATATATTCATTTGTCCCAGTCTATGAAGAGAAAACCTTTTTAGAATTCCAAGTCATAAGTCTCTCAGTGAATTCTGGACAACCATAGTTCAAACAATTCAAATAGAATTAGGTGTATAATAAAGTTTTTATCTCATCCAATTCATGATGGGAATTATATCAAATTGTAACTAAATAATATCAAGTATAAAATGAGAAGCTACATTCTTTACAATTGAAACCCCAATTGGCATTTATATATATATATATATATATCAAATAAATATAATTAATATATATACTTATTTAATATGTCAGAAACTTTGACTCATTTAAGATCTAAAATACATGCATTATCCTGTAAAAATAGGAAAATTACAAGATACTGAAAAAAAGTGTTTACCTTTGTTCATGGAAATTGACATCCTGTTTCTGATGTTACACAGGCTTAAATAACGAAGTGGACAACTGTTCCTTTTCTCACACAGTCAATAGGTTGCACCCACTTTTATAGTCCCATATAATTATACAAAGGGTGGTTCACTCTAAGAGTCAATATTATGCCTTTTTATTAGACTACCTTATATAAATGGTGAGTGAACACTATGTGTTCATAATTTGAGATTTGAAATTTGATTACTGCCTACTCAAAACCAATCACCTAATTTATTTATGGCATATAATTTTGTCTCGCCTACCATGGCTCCTTTATAATGCAATACCACAAATCAAAGTCCAGTAGGGCCCCCCCCTCACTTATCCATAGGAGATAAGTTCCAAGACCTCCAGTGGATGCCTGAAACCATATGTAGTACCGAACCCTATTTATACTATGTTTTTTTCCCAATACATACCTACCTATGATAAAGTTTATTTTATAAATTAGGCATAGTAAGAGATTAACAACTGTAACTAATAATAAAATAGGACAATTATAACAATATATTGTAATAAAAGTTATATGAATGTGGTCTCTTTCCCTTTCCCCATCTCTCTCTCTCTCTCTTTTCTCTCTCTCAAAATATCTTATTGTACTATACTCTCTTATTTTTGGAACATAGTTGTTGGCAGGTAACTGGAACCATGGAAAATGAAATCTGGGACAAAAAGGGACTACTGTAGTTAACAGTGGTAACCGTAAGAGAATTATCAAGCTTTTGTAGAAAACTAACTACTATCCTATTGAACAGGAGACAAATTATTTAGAAAAGTGAATAAAGAATTGCAATGTTGTCTTATACTTGTTAAAATCTGCTGTGTACTGGTAAATTGGGGACAAAACTGAACTATACAAGAGAAAAGTATCCAAAATAAAATATGACAATATCTCAGAATACCATAAACACATATCTGTGTCCACCAGAAATATGATTTAAGGGAAAATACAGGTCTAAAGATAGTAATTAACAAATTACTCTGTGAAGACTGTAATGTTTTATTAAATCAAACTAACTTTAGATGTCAAATGTGACAGCTTGATTGTGAATGCCCCATCTGATATGTTCTCTATTTTCTGCCCCTAAAGCATTTTATTCCCTCATTTAATTATTAATTCAGAAACATTCATGGAGTAGTAACTACATATGAGGTGGTATATTCGGATTGTCCAAGGAGCTGCCAGCTTATTAAGAAAGAAAGAGAAGTAGATATTTTCAATAGTGTGGACAGAGTGTATTATATAAGCTAACTGCACTAGAAAGAGTTATCTCAATTACACAAAGTCCAAAACAAGTATTCTCAATCAGCCAGAAACTTTTCTTTAAGTGGTGTTTCAGAGACCAAGCATCCTTCCATAAAGTGGCCCCACCATCTTTAACTCATGGGTTCCCATGTTGCCATGTTCATTTGTGTCAAGCCAGGGAAGGGAAAGAGCTCAAAGCAGCTGTAGGGGCATTGTTTGGGACCAGGCTTATTGTGGCCCTGTGGCTATAATAATTGCAAGGAAGTCTGGAAAATATAGTTCTTAGGGGGTTGTTGTTTTAGAGACAATGTTGGTCACTATTCGCCTGCTCAGGGACCACAGCTATGGGTGGGAGATTGGTCAGGGAAGGCTTCTTAAAGGAAGCAAAGTCTATTCTGGATTGTGTTTAATGAGTAGCAGCTAACCAGGAGAAAACTGGGTTGTAGAAGGAAGACCCATTCGAGCAAGATCACAGTAGGCAGAAGGAAGAGTATGTGTGCAAATCATGAACGTTAGAGAAGATGATGGAATTAAGGAATTGGAACATAGGTTCTCCTGAAGGAGTGGAAGGAAAGGAGAACGTGAAGGACCATGGTGCTTTTGTAATGCAGTTGTTTAGCTAGTAGGGTTTATAGCATCATGCTTGGTTGAGACCACTTGATTAGCATTGCAGGAGATGACACAAGCAGCCCAGAATGGGGTCAGTAAAATCAGTAAGGGTGGCACAGCCATCATAAGGTTGGGAAAGATGAAGGCTTGAATAGTGTCAGTGGAAATAAAGAGGGAAGAAGGATTTATTAGACCTCTGGGACATAGACACTACCAAACTTGGAGGACAATTTGAGGGTGGGATGAATGAAAGTAGACTCTAGAAACTCCAAGGCTTCTGACTTCCTGGGGAGAAGAGAGGAAGAAAAAAGTCAGTTGTGTTCAGTGGAGGGAGGAAAAAAAGACTCTGTCATCCAGAAAGCCATAAGATGTGGAGAGTTTTAAAATGATAGAAAAATATAACTTTGTAAAATCTGCAAAAGTTTAAAAAATGAGGACCAAAATGTAGCTTTTTAATGTGGAAACTCGAATCTCACTGGTGACTCACTGGTGACAAAGAGCAATTAAAAATGAAATCTATTGATTAACAGTAAGATTTCAACAACACTGGAAATAGTAAAACATCACAATCATGCCAGAAATGTTTTGTGTGAAGTAATAGAGCAGCTTACCCTAGTGTTTAAGTGATTCAGTTATAGAGGGGAAGGGGCTTTACTGTTCATCACAATGACATTGAGCGAAGTTTAAAATGAATATATTTATGCTCTTAACGTACAAAAAATATCTCTAGTACAGAATTATTGGAGCTCCAACTCTGATATTTCTCCATGTGGAACACTTTCATCTCTGCCTAAATTTGTTGGGAAATTTGATAATGATAATATATATGATTATTATTTCTAAAACATCATGCTGTGTGTTGCAATTTGCAATGTTTTTAAAATTTTGATATCAAAATGGTAGAAAATCATTCTATTAATATAAGTGAGAGTAATGACTTGTGGAATTTATGACAGTAAAATTTCAAAGTATGCACCATCAACAAGGATATTTTAAAACTCTCTTACTGAATAATAATATAACTTAGTTATGATTTAGTGGTCAAAGCTAAACATTTTAACAGCAGATATTTCATGTGCAGTAGAAAATCTCTGAAAGATAAACAAACAGCTTATAATAGCAAAGCTGGAATTTGTAGGATAGAAAAATTGTGGTTTTATTAAGAAAGTAACATCTCAAAAATTAAAATGCAATACTGCATTATCTGCAACAAAATCTCAGAAAACTAAAAATGATACAGAGATAACCTCTTGTATATTTAGTTATGCAATCATTGATCCCCTTAAAAACTAAAATGGTATATCTTTTTACTTTATATTCTGTGAGAAGTTCAAAAGCTTAAGTGGAGAATGATCTGTATTATATCTATATTAATGATCTGTATTATATCTATATTAATATAATATGATGGATTACTATAAAGGAAAAAAAGGAGCATCTTGTCTCTTATGTTTGGTTATTTTTAGTTTTGTTTTTCTGACTCATCAGGGATAAAATAATTATAATACTTCCATGTTAGAAAGTAAGACAAACAGTATAGACAAATATAAAGAACACTACAAAAGTTGGTCTGTTTCCTCAGTAGGAAATCAGCAAACCCATGCCCAAATTACCTAGCTATCCACAGAAGACCCCACCAGTGCTCCACTACCTTAGACTTGTTCAGGCCAAGAGAACCAAAGTCATGCAATGACATAAAATTTGAAATAAGAAGACCAAAGTTTGAGTCTCAACCTGACACCTGGAAGTTTTATAACCTTAGGTTGGTCATTTAATTTCTCTGAATTTCTGATCTCATATGCACAAAATGGAAATAATAAAACCAGCCTCATTAGGGTTATGTTAGATACAAATCAGACAATATATGAGAAAATGCTTATTGCACTATAAAGTGCCATGTAGCATAATCATCTGGGTTTTACGAGCAGCATTACAAAATGCTTATTTATTATGCTGATGATCCTTTTTCAGTAATACAAGAGAGAATTAGGAGCACAGTATGAGATAGACCATTTATGAACCTTTCAGGTGGAGAAACATTAACTCTTGCACTCTTCTAAAACCAAACTTGCTTTATTGTGGTTCTTGGTAATAAGATAAACCTTTAGGGAAATGACTACAGAGTAATATGTTTAATTGAGTTGTTGTAATAAAAGGGAAAATAATGCCTTATGCTTCCTCAGAATTCTATTTCGAAGTCACCAAGATACTTACAGTAATTAGTGGACATTTGTTCATATTTATTGAATGATCACCATGAGCCTGATTTTATACTTACTGTTTCATTTAAGTGCTTTATGTTTATTATCTTATTGAATTCTCACAACTTATGAAGTTGCTCCTTTATTTTCCCAATTTTACAGATGAGGAAACTAAGTCATAGAGCGGTGAAGTGACTTGCCCAAAGGATCATTAGAAATAAAGATCCCATAAACATCTTTGGTTGTCAATTCTAATGTTAATAATCTCCAGGTATCAACAAGTTCCCTCAACTACTCCCTTCATTGCTCTGCTTATATGATTGTTCTTTTCACGTGTAAACATTGAGCCTGGATAGTGTTATTCATCCTATGCTCAGTAAATACTTCCACACAAATTGCCTGCCCCAAAGAAAATCCTCCCAGATATAATTTGCTTCTTAGAAAAGTAATTCTGATGCTGGTCTGAGGACCAGGTTGGAAGGCATAAAGCAGTTAGAAGGGCCTAACAAGCTGGTGATGATGAGGGCTCAACTGGGGATGGTAAGTAGGAATGGTGAGAACTGGTGGCTACAAAAGATTTATAGGAGAAAGAAACAGTAGGAATTATAAGAGATTCAACATACATAGGTGAAAGAGGATTTATGCCTTCTAAAATTACTCTGTTTCTGGGTAGTGGGTGGTGTCTCATCTGAGTATCAAGAGAGGTTGGAGCTCAAGGTATAGTTGAGGCTGTTGGAGTAAATGAAGTCAACCAAAATGAATCAGTAGAGCAAAGATTGCAAGCCAGACAAGTATCAGAAATGAGTGCGGATAGGTAGGGAAGGAAAAAATACTGTGCAAGCAATATAAATGAAAGTGTGAAAACTGATGAGCCTGTCCAAAACCTGTCATTCACCTAGGTACTTTTAGTGAACAGTGGTACACAAAACATATTGGAGGTACTTCCACCCT